TAAATTAATAGTGCTATTCAAATACACTTACAGTTATCATTAACCTACCGATGCTTTTTAGATAGAAAAAACTATTGTGAGATCAGTTTGCGGATTCTATACATAAAGCCATCGGTGGTTAAAATGTTGGTTAAAAAAAGTTAATTATATGTACAGTTAATTGTTAGTTAACGTTAATAATATTGATGATTGGTTTGAACCCACATGTAGTTTACATACTGTATACTTTAGTACATAATATAACATGCAATAGTACTATACTAAAGCACCGGTAGTATTGTATTATAAATTTATATATACACTGTTAATTAAATACTCTTTTTTTCCTAGTCTAATTATGCATGCTAAATATAGTATATCTAAACCGATATAACCAACCCCTATAATACCGATATTTGAATTATATGGTTATATCATTACATACCAGTGTTTTGTATGTATGTATATGTTTGTATGTATGTGYTAAACAACACACAAAATGTTATATCACTTTTCCATTAATACTAGTGCTATACATACTGTACATACATACATACAAACATACCATAATAACAAATTATACTAGAAATTGTTAGGGGCACTAACACCAAATGTAACGCATACAAAACTGTAATATACTATGTGCTACCGGTGCGCCTAAAGTGTAAAAATCAATGATTGATCTGTTTATCATTAAAAACACTGGGAATTAAAATGAATAGAGAGATTGAAGGATAGGTAGTTGAGTGTAGAAAAATTGGTTGTAAAACTTGAGAGTTAACAAAAAGTGTTGGTTAAAATAATTAAGAGCACTGGTATGTTATAATGTTTAATATTATTATATATTATATGAATAGCTTATTTGGGAAAACACACGTATAATGCCGTTTTGCACGACAAACAAGTCGTCCCCTCAATCTCTCTCTCTCTCTCTCTCTCTCTCTCTCTCTCTCTCTCTCTCTCTCTCTCTCTCTCTCTCTCTCTCTCTCTCTCTCTCTCTCTCTCTCTCTCACTCATTGAACACATGGCTATCAACCTCTACGGGCAACCCTATCGACTGTAAAAATTGCATCCAAAAGCATTGCATGCAATGTTAGACTGGGATCAGGTGTTTGGTAAAAGTGGTGCTAAAGTGTTGAAAGTCTACTTTTCAACGATTGTATCACTCAATACATCATTGGTATGCCTTTGCTATACTATACAGTATATTCTGGTAATAATAATAATAATAATAATAATAATAATAATAATAATAATAATAATAATAATAATAATAATAATAATAATAATAATAATAAACAATTTAATGTATATTTCGTGTAATAATCAAAAGTATTTTGCAATTTTTTTTGGTGCAAACTATATTTAAAACAAAACATTTTATTCATATAAGTATATATATATATTTCTGTATCTCAATAGGGATGTTWTGATAGGAGTTGTGATATAGTTAGCGATYGAAATAATAAAATAAAATTTAAAAAAACCAATGAATTTATGGTCGATTTCAGCGAAAAATRTTGATTATTATCATAAGTAAAATAAATAGTTATTTTTTTAAAAAAAGTAATAACCATATAGAATCTATATTATAGATTATAAATATTTTATGGTAAATTAATAATTGTTATTACATGATGTTGATAATAATGATGATGAGCGAGAAAATATAATTTTTTAAATATTAAAATATATTATAAAATTTGTTATCGCCTATTATAATCTAGCTAACATTAATATTGATAATATGCCATATGAAAAACGTGTATTATAAAAAAAAATAAACTTATTTATATGTGTATAAATGTTGAAAGTATTTTTTCTATATAATATAAAAACTTAAATATTTAGTTAAACTTTTTTAAAAAAAATAAATATGCAGAAGAATACATAAATTTATAAAAATTATGAAATATTGTTTTATTTTTCTTTATTATTTTATATAAATATAAAAAACTATAAGTTAAACGTCAAAATGATAGTAATATGTGAAGTGAGTAGAGAGAGAGAGAGAGAGAGAGAGAGAGAGAGAGAGAGAGAGAGAGAGAGAGAGAGAGAGAAGACTATGTATATAATAAATACAATGATAAATAAAAATGATTAATCATTTAAAGTATTAAAATTAAAGTGAATTAAAGTATAGTAAAAACAAGTGAAAGTTAGTGGCAATACATATAATATTTAATACAAGAAGCAGTTTATTGTTAAAATAAATTATAAAATATTTCCGACAGTTTTAATGTTGAGAAAGAGTGAGTGAGTGAGAGATTTTAGCCGCAAAATGAAAATCAAGTCTAACTATTTTGAAACARACTTTTACTTTTAAAAAAACATACATAACTTGAAATAGTTTTTGTCATTTTTTATGTGCTCTTAATTTATCATTTGTTTTGACTTTAAATTTTTAAATTGTGTGCAAACTTTTTCTTTACTTTACTATTAAAGTAATAATACTGTATATAGTATACTGTATTTATTTAAAGTAATTTATTTATTTTTTTTATGTTTCATTTATCAAAACTAATGAAATTATATTAATAATAATAATAATAAATATTATTTTATCTCATATAAAGTTAAAAACGATTTCATAAGTTTTAAAAATTGAAAATTTTTATATTTGTGTAAAAAAGAGTGTATAATTTTTGTATATTTATATGTATAAAAATAATAATTTTACAATAAAATTGTCTAATAGTATAACAGTGTATGTATATATATAAAGGTATACTGTTTTTATCTGTATAAAAGATTTTTTTGATAAATAATAAAAATTACATTCAATATTATAGATAGATATGAATAAAACTGATAGTTAGAGGAGTGAGTGCTTTGACTTTATATAATAACTGACAGACAGATAGACTTATTTTTTTGAAGGATAGGGAGATAGAGAGTGAGGGTGAGTGAGTAAGTAAGTGGTAGTGAATGAGAGACAGAGAGAGAGAGAGAGAGAGAGAGAGAGCTATGATTGCTCAGAGATTTTGAGAGATGATTTCAGATAAATATATATATCCTAACATATTGTGTGTTGATTTAACAGATTGTCAGTCAGTTTTGTGTGTATGTGTGTGTGTGTGTGTGTGTGTGTGTGTGTGAGAGAGAGAGAGAGAGAGAGAGAGAGAGATTTATTCAAAAAATAATAATTTTCAAAACATCTTTCATCTCACAGTATTTATATAAAAAATACAATGTATTATACAGTATATAAAAAATAAAAAGTTGTTTGATATAAAAAAATAGTTATATTATAATAATAATAATAAAATCGATGTCCTGTTCAATGCCAGCCCTCGAGAGATGATAACAAAACATATATATATATATATATATAAAATAAAGAGAGTTTTTAAGCATTAGTTTTATGTATGTATTTTTGAATGAATGGCTGGGTTTTCACTGTGTGTTTGTCTATTGAGAAATAAATAGACATATATTTTKTGTGTTCACTGACAACACAAATATAATGTCAAAACTAAACGTTGATATTTGAGTGTCTTTGAAATATTGGTATATAATAAAAAGTACAAATAATAGTAGTCTATATACTATTTGTAAGTACCGGTGCTCTCTGTATATTACAGTACTCTACATGTATGTGCACTTTGACATGATATCCATCCCTTGGAGACATTGTTTCGAGTGATGAACTGATAGAAAAAATATAGGAAACCATAATATCGTGTTTCTTAAGTTTTCTGTAATATCTTATAGATTGTGATTTCAAATCTCTCTCTCTCTCTCTCTCTCTCTCTCTCTCTCTCTCTCTCTCTCTCTCTCTCTCTCTCTCTCTCTCTCTCTCTCTCTCTCTCTCTCTCTCTCTCTCTCTCTCTCTCTCTCTCTCTCTCTCTCTCTCTCTCTCTCTCTCTCTCTCTCTCTCTCTCTCTCTCTCTCTCTCTCTCTCTCTCTYTCTCTTAGTCTTTCTAAATCATTATAATTAAATTRGTTTATATTTTTTTGTAAAACTAAATAAAAACACGAAATGCATTTCATAACAACAATTGCTATCGTATTATTATTACAATTATAAAACTTGCATTTGGCTGAGTAACCCATGCACTATACAGTAAATATAGTGTGAAAATAATTAATAAATAACAAAATTAAATTCACCCACAAAAAAACACCGATTTATGCAATATTGAGTGCTAGCAAAGTGAATATTATTTCATATTAGTATATAATTTAATAATTATTTTATTATAATCAGTAATATATTACATACAATTATGGACACACACTTAGTGTTACATAACTTATATAAGCACTTATGTAACGTATAGCTCGTGATGTTAGAAATGAAAACATCTTTTTACTAAACTATTTACTGACTGTCTGTCTGTTTTGTGGTCAAAATACTCTCACAATATATTATCTAAAAATATATAATATTTAGTGAGAGAGTTATGACTAAAAGTAAAGAGGAAAGTACTGATCGGATCGGTTCGGTATCTATGAGGAGATGATCTGTTTCATGATTTTTGCTGTTGTTGTTGTAGTTGTTCACCAAATTAATGTTAGATCTGTTTTTTTGTGACCTTTGTTGCTGTGGTTGATGTGCTGTAGTAGTAGTTGTCGGCCAATGCCTTTCCTCCCAATCCCTGCTCTCAACACTCCTATTAATTTTACGAGTAATGTATTGTTTTCAGGTAATGATCTCTAGAGCCGTATATATATATATAAGTACTGTATATAAGAGCTGTTAAAAGACAATACACGCACAACACATAATATATCGCAAAAATTGTATAAAAATCAGACAAAAATACATAAATTATATAACAACTTACAGGGAATGTGGTATTCATGGGTATGTGTGAGCTATAAATAATAACTACCAAACCATATAATCAGTTTTGCACTTTCATCTCTCTTAGCTCTCTCTCTCTCTCTCTCTCTCTCTCTCTCTCTCTCTCAACAATAGATATGAAAACGAGATATGAAACAAAACACAATTGTATTATTAATTTGTTTAGCTGTTTAGTGGTTGATCAGCACAGGTTAATACTGTAGGAAACGCCTGATTATATGACTTTTCTGTAATTTTTTCATTATTATTAATAATATGATTTAATTATTTTACATACAAAAAATTTAATGTAAATAATATCTTATTAAAAATTTTTTATGAAGTTTTCCGGAAATAAATAGATATTTATCATCATCAACAACAACAAAATTTTTTTACGTTATATATACAGTTTTTATATTTATTAAATAAATCAAAAAACACGTACAATCACGCGCGCATTAATAATACGGTTTGTGTGATAGATAATTACGAGACATGAAAACACGAGTTGTATGACTAAAAATATAATACATTCATTTAATACACATACAAAAAACTGTAATACAAATTGAATTTCAAACCGTTATTTCCAATGATATTATACAATACAATACTAAAATATATCAGAAACTCTGATTTGTATTAATTTTTTTTGTCTGTGATTTTTGAGATCAAATTTGAATTCATTGGATTCAATCAACAGAACAGCAAATAAAACACAAAGAAAAAGAGAGAGAGAGAGAGAGATATGTCAGGCCTTAATAGGACACATATCACCAGAATTATGAAGGATTTGGTCGAGTTTTATAGAGAGACATCAAAACAGATTTTTTTGGTCACAGAAGACACCGATATTACCAAAATTCATGCCATCATCTTAGGTCCCGAAGGAACGCCATACGAAAGCGGATACTTTTATTTTCTGTTGACAATACCATCCGATTATCCGCTGAAACCGCCAAAAGTCAAGTTTATGACTACCGGTGGCAACAAAGTTCGCTTCAATCCTAACCTATACTCTTGCGGTAAGGTATGTCTGAGTATTTTGGGCACTTGGAGTGGACCAAAATGGACAGCTGCTCAGACACTGTTTACAACACTACTGTCCATTCAGTCGCTGATGAATGAGAAGCCCTATCACAACGAACCGGGACATGAAGAGAAATCTAACAGAAAGCGCCACAAATCGGATGTCTCGCAGAAAGTCCAGAACTATAACGATGTGATTGCGTTTGAAACGATGCGGGTGGCAGTCATTGGGATGTTAGATGAAAACAGTACCGATACTAGAAATATGCCTGAAATGCTCAAAAACATTATTGTTGCCCATTTCAAGACAAACTATGAATACTATGAACGAACTGTCCGATCGCGGCTACACATGGATCACAAGGCAATGGAAAATCCGCACGAAATGTGGTCAGGTTTGAGAAACGGTAATAAATTATTTCAATATAAAGACCTACTGAACAAATTGCATGCATTGAAGACACGCTATGACATTGTGTGCGACATAAACGATGACAACTACAAGTCATCTACTGCTAAGCCCAGAGCTGGTACGTCATCGATGTCCTCTACAGCGCCAGCAGCCGAAGCACCGAAACTGAAGACTATCGATGTCCCGCCCAATGATCCGCTTATCAGAGGCTACTACGATCTGATCAATCGTACGACTGGCGGTCTGACCATTACTGACTTCAGACCCGATAACCGTAAAAACGATGACTATGTTACCGGTAATGATGTCGACTGGTATTACGATGAAAGTCAAAGTCTCGATGAATATGAAGAAGACATCGACGACGACGACGACAAAGAAGTGGTAATTCTGGACAAATCGTCGGACGACGACAACAGTAACAACATTAGTAAAACTATCGACCAATAGGTCGGTGTTATTAAAAGAAAGAAAGATTTTTATGTGTTTTTTGTTTATTTTAGTTATTTTTCAAAAATCTAAATTGTCTTCACTATTGTATTATTTAATATCAAATTAATTATTTTTATTTTCATTTATAATTTTGTAATTTTAATATTATGTGATTTTTATTTACTAATACTGTATTTATTATATAACTTATATGAGTTATTATTATTTTCTTTATTTGTATATATATTATACAACAAATAAAAAAAATTACATTTAATGTTAAATTGAATGAGAAATTAGATAATAATAATAAAAACATTTAAATTGGTTTAATGTTAATTTAATTGAAAAATATTTATACTTTTGTTTATAAATTTATTTATATAAAAAAACTAAATCTAACATAAGTATAAACACAGACATACAGTATATCTCAAGTGTGGGAAACTAATTAAAAATCATTATTTTATGTAAACGTTTCTCTCTTTTTTTTTATTAGTACAGTATTTCTTGAATTTATCGTAAAACAAAATAATTTTCTAAATTAAATTTCTAGATTTTCTTGTTGTTGTTGTCTATTTAATTAAAAATATTTAATTTTGTTAAATTATATATATGTGTAGAAAAAATAGACGGTTTATCAATGGTTTTTTTTAATGAGAGAGAGAGAGAGAGAGAGAGAGAGAGAGAAAGAGAGAGAGAGAGATTACCATATGATAAGAGACAAATGTCAATGTTATTAGCCTATCATTTATTTTAATTAAGTTAAACAGTTATATTTTTTGTTGGATATTCAGTACAGGTTTCAGTAAAATAAAATTGTAATTTGTTTTTTTCTCAACAACAAAAATTTTTTTATAAACTATTAAAACCTACAATTTGTGATATAACATTACTTTATTTATTAAATAAATAAGTGCATCATTAGAAAATTATGATTTTGCAATTTAATAATAATAATACTGTAATAATAAAATACTTACTAATAAAATCTCTATAATGTAGTGTTAAATTGCTATAATATGCTAATGAATTAGGGCTATTGATAAACTTGTTAAATTGTTTATATCAATATAGATATATTAATATTTTTAAAATATAATCTTTTTTTAAAAAAAATTTAACATAACTATTATCTATTTTATTTATAATTATATGTTTCGACATAACTTTTTTGAAAGTAAAGTTTGATGACATGTACAGTAGGCTACAATTTTAGTCAAGTTTTTTAAAAATATATGTATATATATGTTTATACTGTATACTAATAATAACAAGTCAATAGCTATTAGGAAATAGTCGATTGATGTGTATTTCAATGTGTGTGTGTGTGTGTGTAAGTGTAGTGTTGTGTACAAAAATATATGCTAAAACAGTTAGCTTAATAAATAACATTTATAATTAAAATTGTTTCACTTTTCAAACATAATATATATTTATAATAAATATAAGTAGAGTATATTAAATAGCTTTTGGGTACACTTTTTTAATGGTTATCCAACAGATTTGCTAATAAACTAATGTTTATACTGTATTTGTCTTAAAGCAAAAAATAAAATAAAATTACTGTTTGTGACTAACATTAAGTATAAATGATTGACTAAAACAAAATGTTTAATATATATATATATATTTTTTAATAATAATAATATTGATATATTTTTATATTTATGAAATTATATGATAGATAGCAAAGCATAATACAGTATTTTTCAAAAAATCAAATTTTTTAAAAATCAAATAAAAATAGTTTAATGTAAATCCCTTATTTTATTAAATGTTAAATTTAAAATTTAATGAACACAAAAAAGTTGATTAAATCAAATGCTCAATTTTAATCAAATTAAATATTGTAATTTTACTTCATATATATATATATGTTGGTGTAAATTATTTTTTATTAATCTTTTTTGCTTACATATACACATATTTATGTAATAAGAAATTTATCTAAATTGGGATTTTTTTTCTCTCTCTCTTTATGTATTAATTTTATTTATTTGTTAATTAATGCACAGAAAAAACAGCACCAAAAACCGTGACTTCGTATTTTAGTTTTCATTAAATCTGAACTTTGATTTAAATGTTATTATTGGGAAATGTTATGTTAATTTTTTTTGTGCCCCAATAGAGATAGTGTTATGATTGGGAAGTTAGAAATAATTTTTATTTTAATAAATAAAACTATATATAAATATAAAACATTAGAGATAGGGTTTGGACTGAAAATCCTAATTTTATATTTATAATATGCTATAAATTTTTATTTTTTTTATATAAACACTAAAAATCAATATATTATATTATCTAAAAAATTTGCTTAATACAATAAAAACAGGTAATACTGATAATAATAATAATAATGTTGTTATTTTTATATTGATTTAAAAGTTATTTTAGTTAAATTTTTGCCACATATTATTAATGTTATAATGTCTCAATGTAATGATGTTTTATTATTATTATTAATAAAAATTAATGTTTATACAGTTAATATGTATAAAAAAATTTGGTCTATGAAAAACAAAATTGTTATTTAATTTTTATAAATATACTTAATAAAATACATATATATATATATATATATATATATATAAATATATATAAATTTATATATAAATTTATATATAAAGTTATATTACTATATTAATATTACTAAACTATTTTTTATAAAATAATTATTAATGATTTTGATGCGTGTCGTCGTATAAATCGGTATCATCTCTCTCTCTCTCTCTCTCTCTCTCTCTCTCTCTCTTCCAGAAATAAAGTTAGATAAATATTGAAAACAAAATAAATATATATTAATATAATATTTTTATACATTATTTATATTAAATTATTATTTATTTATTTTTTTGCAAACAAAATATGATTATATAAGTTAGTATTAGAGTGAATACAAATATTTTGCTCAATCCATCCCAAACAGGATTTATAATACATTCATATATATTATATAAAATTTTTGTTTTCTCATATAATAATAATACTAAATGTTTTGACCAAATTTTTCTCTATATATAATAATGCTATTATATTTAGTTGTGATTTAAACAATTAGATTAAAGATTAAATATAATATATGTATATATACTGTATATTTATTTGGAAATTAATTAAATTGCAAAAAAATATTCAAACATTTTTGACATTAATGATAAATATATCTAAATTTTAAAATTTGTTTTTTTTGGGTTCAAAACAAGTCTGTATAAATTCACGTGTTATTATTATCATTAAATATGAATATTAGAAATAAATGACTGTCTATGATATAATACACTATAATATCTTAATATTATATATTAGCAATAATAATAATTTAATAGCAGAAAAAAATATCACATTATTATTTAATATAGGCATACATTACAACTATATAATCTACAATATAGTAGTCTATATTTTTACTTTTCATTGACCTCTAAAAGTTGAACTATAAATTGAAAGTAAATTTTATTTTTTGTAGATATTAACTACTGATATTATAAACAATATTATATGTTATTAACATTTAGAGAGAGAGAGAGAGAGAGAGAGAGAGAGAGAGAGATTGAATTAAATAACTTTTTACAATTCAATTCCCATAACAGGTATTCATTACATGCATATGAAGTTTTTTATAATAAATAAAAAATTCAATAATATATATCATAGTGTATGACATTCAAAATGTGCATAATTTTCAAAGTGAAAAAAATTGTTTGAAAAAAAAACGATTGTATTATATATATTGCATGTTTGGTAAGTCAAACGTAAACCCTTATATTAAATGGTGATATCAATGACGATATATATATAATAAACTGTGTGTATTTGTATGCATTTTATACGAAAATGATTATCATTTAAGGGTTGGCAGTCAACCCATAATATTTTTTTGAGAGCTAACCGTCCTTTTTATATTGAATGCAAAAAACTATCTAATCATTAGTTTATTCAATATTTACTTTTTCAATAATGTATATCCTCTTACATTATAATAATAAACTCTCTCTGAAATTAAAAGAAAATTTTTTATATACTATATATTTAGATTGCAAACAAAAATAAACAACAATAATAATAATAATTCAATTTAAATATATTTTCACACATAAATGTAAAATTCAATGTAATAATAATAATAATATAATTTAAATACAAATTATATTAATAAAATTGCATCTAAGCTTTAAATTTGTAAATATTTACATAATTGCATTAAATTATCATTATATTTTCAAATAAATTATACAACTTAATTTTGATAGCAAATATAATAAATTTAATTTATTTAATATATATATATATATATAATATTTAATATAATATACATATATTTTAATATATAATAAGTTCATTAACATTGTGTATATTAATAATAATATTATCTGTAAATTTCTTAATTTTCTTTAAATAATATTACTGTAATATTAATAGTAATAACAATAATGATAAAAAATTATTTTAATTAATTTCAATTTGTTTTGCATAGCATACAGTATTTAATAAATTATTTTTTTTCTACATTATTTTTATTTTATATCTATAATATATTGCATTACAGAAAAAATTAAATAATGTTATATAAAATATACATTACAATATATACTGTACAATATATACCATATATAACTTACATATATAATTTAAATATATATAATAGACTCCTGTTATATAATATACAGTATATTGATATATAATAAATTAGTTTAGAAGTAATTTATTAGTATTAATATTATTGAAGAAGAAACAGGATTTTTAACATTGAAAAAATAACAAAAAATAAATAATAAAATAAATAAAATATAATACAATGTTATGTATAACGAGAGGAGAATTACACCAACAAAAAATATAATAGTTATTAATAATAATAATGATGAAAAAATAATAAAAAAGCGATAAAAATGTTATAAATAATAATAAAATAATTTTTTAGCCCTTTTATTATTAATAACGATCTATATTTAATAAATTGATGGCACAAATAAATAATTATTTGCTATTATATACAGTACATTACGAAAAAAAATTGAATAAAATAATAACGGCTATCAATAATAAGCAACAATAAAAATTAAAATAACAAAAAA